TCTAATAGGGTGATATGGTACTACAAGGTCATTAAGATAAGATGGGGCCTGATTATTTAAGACCTTGTATGTGAGGAGCAGGATTTTGAATTCAATTTTAGGGATCTATTTGTCTGAAACACCATAGTTGTAAATGGACTGATACTTTTATAGCTCTTTTCTACAGTAACTGCACTCAAAGTGCTCTTTACTTCAAGCCTCATTCACCCAGTCGTACAAGCACTTCTTTCTATACCACCTGGGGAATTGATCCGTGACCTTCCAATTGGTAAACTAGCGCATGAAGCACAACTGCTCGCAAAGCTTGCAGCACCTGGTATTCCCAGTTAGTCTCCAGTCCAAGTACGAACCCTGCTTAGCTTCTGAGATCAAACAAAATTGGGCTGGTATGACTGTAAGCTATACCAACTCGTGCTTATTTACAGTATGCATATTGTGGATTTTGCATTAGTTCAGGATGCAGTGGCGTTACTGGTCCAGCTCCCTTGAGATCAGACTGGAACATGTAGCCAAGAGTTTGACATGAAGCGTCAAGGGACGAAAAGACCAATGATCACATGAACTGAGTGTCATGAATATGGATAAAGATATGAAATTACAGCAATAGTTTTTGCAAGGTACCTCTGTTTATCTGAGGCCAGTCTTGCTCTCTGCAGGATTTTCCAAACAATCGTGAAGGATTTGAATATATTGATATGGCCACCTCTAGTGGTGATATCAAAAAACACACTAAGTTGATCTACAAAGACTGCATCATATATCTCTTTAATTATGATTATTATTGCTTAACTAGCATTCCACATGATCCTTTAATGCATAATATTTATTTGCTTTCCAATTCAGGATCCATCCTCTTCATGGGCCGAGTAATGAACCCAGCAGACCAAGCATCCTGAAAGCGTCCAACCTAAACGCCACTCACATTCACCTCCACAGCAGCCCATTTCACTACTGGTATTTATTTGTGGACCAAACGGAGGCTCCACAGACACGTCAGGAAGAGGGACATTATTTTTGTACATATTTGTAAATAAAATTTTAATATGTTTTTACACTTTCGGTGTTTCGATCCTCTTTCCATTTGATGCGACGTTCAATTCAATT